ATGATCTATACACTAAAACTGCTTTATTTAGCTAAAGTAATTTAGGTGACTATAGTGTTCCTTTAAGGACCGTTTTTTGTCAGACATACCTAGTATGTCTGTGGTCCTTAAGGGGTTAATAAATGTCTCAAGATAGATTTCTCCACACCTACAGCAATTAGGGAGAACTGATGGGAACGTCTTCGTACTGTGAGCGTAAGGAGCTTTTATAATAAAGGATAAGGACTTTAAACCATTAATTATATGAATAACTGATGAAGAATTATCTTCATACCATGTCATGTCTCTGTGAACCTGCTCCCTGCTTGACAGAGACTGATGAGTGTTCTATTTGTGAATAGCAACATTTTTCCATAGTAGTGGTACAGTCCATGAGTACTTGAAGAGACATTGTTTAAACTGTGGACTCTTGGAAGATGAATTGAAGTTGTATAAATCCTGGACATAACATTTACAGCCAACATTCAAAATTAATTTATATTTGTGTGTGAAATACACGTAAAGTACCATCAACATTTTTAAGTGATTGGTGATAAAATGGCAACATCAAAATAATGAAGTATCTTGGGGAGTATCCTAGATGTCTATTTTTGAAACGTATACTGTTTGTGTAACAGCTTCGAGTTTTTGGGAGTCTATTTTGTCCTGTACCACGGTCTCTCACTGAGCAACAAGGACACCTTGAGGTTGGACAAGTATTTAGGAGATGATTGTATTATAGAAATAAATGAAAGCAGGGAAGATATGTCAGGGTGCTCGTAACAGTGGGGAGTAACCCCTATAAATAAGGATTAATAAAAATAAAGAACCAAGGGGAGACTCGGAGGATGAGACAGTTTAGCCCTCATGAGTCAGCCCTCTAAAGTGAGGAGACCAACCCATAGATAGAATAAAATAAAACATAACTTTTAATTAGTATATTAAAATCCCCAAAAATGTGGGAAAATCCAATGATAGCAAATCCTCATACGTGCTAGCTTACGTGGATACAGGGACCTGAGCACAAATGTTGCTGAGAAAGAAGGAGGGAGGAAAGGGAAAGGGAGACAATGTAAATAAATAAGTGAAAAAAACCTAACTGCAAATGGCAGGTAACGGGTTAACGAGGGGAGGTAGGAGTAGAGAAAGGACAAATACCTGGTCTCAAGGCTGTACCCTAGCGTGCCTTCGAGGGCACCCCTTAAAAAAGTCTAATGCTCCAACCAGGGGCGTACCTAGAGCATTTGGCACCCGGGGCGGATCCTGTGCTTGGCACCCCCCCCCACCCAAAAAAAAAAAACCTGTAAAAAATGTTAAAGGTTTTCTTTCTTTATTTTTACAATTTGTAAACTTTGCAAAACCGCTGTCAGCCCCTCCTACAAAACCCTTGTCCTGCCCTGCCCCTCCTACAAAACCTCTGTCCTGCCCCTTCTACAAATCCTGTACTGCCCCATCTACAAAACCCCCGCAACCCCCTTCCACAAATCCCCTGCTTATCCCCCCTTATAAAGACTCCTGTCCCAATACAAAACCCCCACCCCCTTCTACAAAATCCCTGCAGCCCTACACACACATTTACAGGCAGACAGTCACACACTCAGTTACAGACAGACAGTCACACACTCAGTTACAGACAGACAGTCACACATACACATTTCCTCCGTGCGGCCAGTTTATCAGCTGTTTGCTTGAGTGAGCTGTACTGGCCGCACGGCACCCTAACTACCATGGGACACTGTGCGGCCACAGCTCACACATCCCCCTCCAGCCAGGGCCGGTACAAGGATTTTTGCCGCCCTAGGCAAAAGTAAAGTTTGCCGCCCCCCATGTGACATCACAATGCCCCAACCATATGATTTGCCATGTTAACTAACGCCAGTGCTGCAGTGCCGCCGTGTTTACATTAAAAGGCCTGCAGGGACAGGCTATAGACACCAGAACCACTACATTAAGCTGAAGTGGTTCTGGGGACTATAGTGTTTCTTTAATGTGAGGTAAATTAGAGCTTAGTGCCACGAATAATATACTAGATTGCCTACTTACAACCAGATGAGGATGATGATGGGCTCTAGCTGCAGTCTGGCTCCACTGGTCTGGTGCAGAACAGGCTCTCTGGAGGCGGTTTGTAACTGTGGTCACAAAAATGTTCTGGGAGAACTGGAAGCAGCTCCATTTTTTGGGGGTCCTTTACACAGCTCAAGGTCTGGGTCCCAGGGTCCACCTTCATGTTCCACCAATGAGTTTGTTCACAGGGGGTGGAGTGTGTAGGGGATGTCCTGATATGTGTGTAAGGAATGCATTGTGTGAAATTGTGTTTGTATGTGTAAGGGCTGCAAGGTGTGTTTCTGTGTATGTATGGGATGCATTGAATGTGTGTAAGGGGTGCATTGAGTGTGTGTAATGAATGCATTGTGTGTTTCTGTGTGTGTAAGGGATGCATTGTGTGTAACGGTTGCATTGCTTGTGTATGTGTGTCTGTGTGTTTTTCTGTGTGCAAGGGGTGCATTGTGTGTATGTGATGAATGTCAATCTCTCCTCCCGCTCCAATTTCCTTCTCCTCCTCCCAATTTCTCTTTCTCACCCACCCCTTTTCTCTTTCTCACCCACCCCTTATTTCTCTTACCCCCCCTTATTTCTCTTTCTCACCCCCCCTTATTTCTCTCTCACCCCCCCTTATTTCTCTCTCTCCCCCCCTTATTTCTCTCTCTCCCCCCCTTATTTCTCTTTCTCACCCCC